CCCCCCAAATAAAAAAAAGTACTTGTAATGGAAGAACAAAGCAAGAAAACTACTTGTTTGATGTTCTCTTCGTTGAAAAGAATATGATACCTTCTGTAATCAGAAATGATAACTAATTGGTAAGGCCACATGAAGCTTCATGTCTTTACAATTAAATACAGTTAAACCAAAATAGTAATGAAGCTCTAGAATATGCTGGCACTTATAACTATCATTTATTTAAAGTGCATAAAATTTCACCTCAGATTTAAATATGATCCAATGCAGTTAATATTAACATTATGACCTAAGAAGAGAACAAAATAATTGCTATTTGTAGTTTCAAAATGCATCTGATACCAGTATATAACTAAGAAAATACAAATTATAAGTTCACCTTTAGTTGCCTGATAAAGGTAGAAAGTCGATTCAGCTAGTTCAGGGCGCAATGGATAATATTTCTCTGTTGGATGCAGCACATTCCGATCCAAAAGATACCTGCAGGGTAGAATATTAACTCGGTCATTAGAAAGAAGAGCGACAGGAGCTAATGGAAGATTATAACAATGAAGAACCAATCACAATGAGGAAAATATACTTCAGATTGTATTGTGTCAAAGTTATAAACATGACCTTGTCAAAGGCAAGAAAAAATTCACTTCAAAGCAGAACAGAGAAGGTATGTCACTTCTATTTGCTTTCTTCAATTAGAAAGTTAAAAAATAAGTGGCCAAGAGAAACCAAATATTTTAGTTGCCGATGAACAACAATCAAACGAAAAATTTGAACCAATGGGTCAGCTTGATTATTATAATTTTGGGAACTCAACTCTTGTTCCATTCATGATGTAAGACTACACTACTATTTTGCTATATAAGACATCACTCCTCAAAAGAAACCATTCCAATATCATAAAAAATTATACACTAAGAGCCCTCTCAACCACGTGGAACCTAAGCTGTGAAACATCATACAAAGAGCCTACATAGGAGTCGCTCTCCCTTGAAACTTCTCTCAATCATGATGGAAACATCCAAGTCCCATAACAGCCACAAAACACATGAAAAATTGGATCCTAGTCAAGCCATCAATTTTAAAATCACTTGTTGGTGAAATATTTACATACGGAATATGCACGCAGCTCTGAGTACTTATTAAAAATAACCCCGCAATACCCCTATAATAACCTATGAATAACACTGAAATAAAATCCGCGAAGGTTATTGAAAGGTTATTGGGGTTATATGTTATTGAAATTAACATCCCAATAACCTACCAATAACCCTCCAATAACCCCGAAACGGAGGTTTTTGAAGGGTTATTACGCACAGAACTGCAAGCGTGTTACGTATAGAAATATTTCCCCACTTGTTGACAGAATGAAACACCAAGGTGCCAAGGTGACGCCAATAAAATAGTAGATGAACACCCATAAACCCAATAGATTAAGCTAATAAGTAAACAATAACAAAATATTAGGAACTCAAATTTTATTTTAACTTACGAAGTAAAACTAATTTTCACTATCATATACATATCTCAGCATCTTTCAAGTCACATGAATCTAACAAACCAACTAACTCACATAATTCATAATTTATAAATAAATGAAATACTACTAGCAATAACATTCAGAGTTGGAACAAAAAAGAACAAGATAAATTATTTACCAATCAACCAATTAAAAATCAAACCGTAACATAAACTAAATTTGGCAATCATACTAATAATACTAGTTATATTGAGAAACTTAAACTCACTCAAGATGAGGTCTGTAAAATATTAATGATATCACGAACTTGTGATTGGTTATAACTATGGTTGTACAGTAAGTCAATTGGGAACAAAAAGAATTTTGAGTTATCCTACAAAGCATAGGCTTGGAAAGTTAGCTGGTGACACAATTGTATGCACTTATTCAGCACAGGGATAACCGAAAATCACAATCCACCAATTCAAATTCTTATATTACTTGATTTTGCTTTTCAATAAAAGATTCGACAACCTTAAATTGTGTCAATCCCAGTTAAATGCTTGAAATCCTTTATTCATGGCAACATACCCTCAAATCTCCCAGCCTTTTGAACTAAAGCAAATAATCTTAGCAAAAAGTTCCTGCTCCAATTATTTTATGCTGTCAGAAATACAATGTGCACTGCTCTGTCGAATCTTTTTTGTTTATTCTCACATAATTAAGTACCCGAGAGATCATAGATTATGAAAATTTAATTTCTCAGTTTCTATTCATAAATTAAGTCCTAGAAATAACTTAGTTCTGCCCACCCCCCAACCCCCACGGGACTATTTTGGTACTTCAATTCATATGGAAATTGCGGTCATACACAAATTACTCTTCACAAATACTCTCATCTAAGAGTGAGTCCTATATATGGATAATTAGATCATTAATGCTCAGCTTTTTTGGTGTTTTAGAAGAAACATAAAAAATGCGATTATCTAGCTCACCTCACAAGTTGAAAAAAGCCTACCAACCTTTCTGGCAAAACACCAAAACGTTTCCAAACATGATAAAATTCACGATGTGATGCATTTGCTGCAGCTACATCTCCGACAAGAATCTGCTTACAGAAGCTTAATAAGCAAATATTATGAAATGTTCTGCAGCTATTCATAAAATTAAATGTATTTAAGTAGTCCAAGTAATAACCTGAAGACCAGGCCAAAATGCTTGGAGGCTTGTAAGTTGCCAGTAGGTAGCTCTCCCAGTCCGCATGTCAGCTTCATGGTACCTGCATTTAAGAAAATATGAAAGATCAGAAAGCAAAATTGAACGGAAATAAACAGAACTATTTATGGAAAATGACTAAAATTTACATCAAAATCCCTAAGATTAAGTTTTTTCACCAGTCTATATGATAGAAATCCACGTCCTTTGCACATGACAACTTGATTCTCAAGAATGACTCGAAATGTAAAAGCCACTACTCTATAAGTGTCTATGCAATAACAACTACACGTACCACAGTAAATAGGATCCAATTCAACAATTCATCTGTTGGTAATTAAAATATATCATTTAAACCTCCAAAAAAAGCAAAAAATCATCAAAATGGTAGAATATAATTAATCAAAACTCCTCACAGTTCACACATTTCCTGAGTGTATACTTCATATTTTTAATTCATTATAGAATAAACACGTTATTGAGCAGTCGATTTTGATACAGCGTGAAATAATTTCAAGTTGGTTTCTAATCAGTAACTTTTACTTGAGACGACTCAACTTATAGAACAAAATCAACTTTGAGTTGGGCAATAGCAAAATATTTAGAATCCAAGTAGCAGTCAGGTTCCACTCCAAAAAGAGATGCAAACTATATTCATGCAAGGAAAAAAATATTGACATACCAATATATTGTAAAATGTACATCTAAATATGCCGAAGGTTCAATAGCATGAACTGAGGCAATTGGAAATCATCCTGATCAACGTGAATTTACCCAGTTCGACAATAATTCGCTCAAGTCAGCATAAACCCACACAAACTGATATAAAATCACCCCAACTCCTGATGAAATCAATGAACTAATAGTAATTTCATCAGTCTAAATGAGCATATGTCAAAGCTCAAGTTTACTCATCAAAGATTAGGTATATTTTCATAAGTTTGTAACTACTCAGCAAGTCGGTGATTTCATAGAGGAAATCATCGCATTTCTCTAAGCAAGTAGATTACAAATATGAGCACTCAACCGTAATATAAGCAGAGCACACACCTCATGTATTTTACAACAAATGATAATAGCCTTTATTCTTGTGGTATATGTAAAATAGAACTATAGACAACGAAGCAAGAAAATAGAACGAGAAAATTCTTAAAACCAGAAAACACAGAACACAGATTTACGTGGTTCGGCAAATTGTCTACGTCCATGAAGTTGCGAAGGATTTTTATTACTCGAGGATTTTGTACAACAATGCTTCGATTTACAAGAAACACTTATCTTAATTTCAAGGAATTACAAAGTCGATGTACTTCCTTCTTCCCGTATGCTTCACGCCGAAGATAACACAAAAGGGAGCGGAGACTTCTTCTTCTCTTTCTCTCTTCTCCTCTCTCCTCTCTCCTCTCTCTATTTCTCTCTTTATATCTCCTCCGTGAGCCATACCAGCGAAGGAACTAAAGAGGCGGGAGCATTCCTGACTCTAATCAGCGGGGGCGAAGCGAAGCGAAGCTTCGCGGGTGAAGGAGGATGGGCAGGCGTCATTTCGTGAAAGAAGGAGGTCGGAATAGGCGGAGGGTTTTTTTTTTTTTTTTTTTTTTGAACCGGGCTCCACCTCAACAAATCTCCCACTAGGACACCGGTACACAGACTACAATATCTTCTTCCTCAAACTGATATCTTCCACCTCTGCAACTCAAGACTCCTGTCTTAAAGTTAGAAGACCAACTGAAGCTGTGCACAACTTCAGTTTTTCAAGAGTAACACGCTTTGTCAACATATCAACTTCTCAAGCAACAATTGTCTGTCATCCAACATTGACCATATGAAGTGATATCTGGTCTAAATGTGCTTGGTTCTGGGCTGAAATACAAGATTTCTCGCAAGGAATATGACGCTCTGACTATCACTGTAGAGAGACCTTTCTGTTTCTTCTTGCCCAATTCTTCCAAGAAGCCCTGTAGCCATACCATCTCCTTTGCAACCTCTGACACTGCTATATACTCAGCTTCTGTAGTAGACAACAAAACTGTCTTCTGTAGATTAGAATCTCATGACACTGTTGTGCCACCAAGAGTATAAATATAACCCGTAGTACTTCTTCTAGTATCAATGTCTCCAACTGGATCAACATCAACATAACATTGTACCTCTACCCTCTTTCCTGAGAAACACAAGCAAGTTTCTGAAGAGTCTCTTAGGTACGTCAAGATCCACTTCACTGCTTCCTAATATTCTTTTTCAGGATTATTTATGTATCTGTTAACAACTTCCACTGTATGTAAAATATTTGATATGGTGCAAACCATAACATACAAAAGTGAACCAATAGTTGAAACATAAGAAACCTTACTCATGTGGTTTCGTTCCTCCTCTAACTTGGGTGACTGATTCTGGCTGAGTCTGAAGTGACTGCTCAAGGGTGTGTCAACTGGTTTGACCTCATCCATATTGAACCTGCTAAGTACCTTTTTCACATACTCAACCTGTGAGAGTCTCAATCTGCCTCTGACTCTATCTTTGACAATTCTCATTCTAAGGATTTGTTTTGCCGCTCCCAAATCCTTCATTGCAAAGTGTTTTGACATCTTCTCCTTCAGATTATTGATCTCATCAAAGCCTCTGCAACAAGCATGTCATCCACATATAATAGTAGAATAATATAAGAATTGTCAAAATGCCTGACATAGCAGCAATGATCTGCCTAACATCTGTTGTACCCTGCGTTGTGCATGAAATTATCAAATTTCATGTACCACTGTCTAGGAGGTTGAGTCAGGTCATACAAGAACTTTTCAGTCTGTAAACTGAGTCTTCCTTTCCCTGTACCACGAACCCTTCAGATTGGTGCATGCAGATGTCTTCTTCAAGATTCCCATGAAGAAAGATTGTCTTCACATGTAACTGCTCAAGAAAGAGATCTTCAGTAGCCACTATAGATAGTATCATTCTGATGGTTGTGAGCTTCACCACAGAACTCAGAATAATCAATACCATGCTTCTGCTAAAAGTCTTTTACAACAAGTCTGACAGTGTACCTCTTACTGCCATCATGCTCAGTCTTCACCCGGTACACTCACTTGTTGTGTAATGTCTTCTTCCCTGGTGGAAGTTCTGTCAACTCCAAAGTTTGATTTTCTAACAGAGAATCCATCTCCTTCTTCATGGCCATCTCCACTTGCACGAATTTTCATCTTGCAAGATTTTTTCATAACTTTGTGGTTCTCCATCATCTGTCAGCAGTATGTAGTTTAAAGTTGGAGAATAACGTTATGGAGAACGTCTAGTCCTTTCTGACCTGCGAACTGCAGCTGTAGGGGTGGACTGCTCTGAAACTGACTCCAGAACAATATGAATGGGTGCTCCGGACCCACTCTCCATGTCATCTGCATCTCTGTTCTGCACTATGACCTCTGGTAAATCATCAAACCTAACCAATTTAGATTCCTACATTATTTTTTCAGAAACTGTACTACACTTGTCCTTGTACATAACATTCTCATTGAAAATCACATTTCTGCTTCATATGATCTTTCCGATCCTGATCATCCCAGAAGAGATATCCATATGCCTCGTCTCCATAGCCAACAAAATAACACTTCTTTGACTTAGCATCAAATTTACTTTGAGCGTCAGGATTAATTAGAACAAAAGAAAGACATCCAAAGGTTTTAAGGTGAGAAAATTTGACCACTTTCTCACTCTAATCCTCCTCAGGTAATTCACAGTTTAATGGAACAGATAGTCCCCTGTTGATCAAATAAACAACAGTGCTGACCGCTTCAACCAATAAAATAGGTGGTAATCCGGCGTGCAATCTCATACTTCTAGCTCGCTTATTAATGGTCTTGTTCATGCGCTCTACAACACTATTTTGTTGTGCTGTCCCTGGAATGGTCTTCTCTATTTTGATGCCCTGAGCTGCACAACACTTATTGAACCCACCATAAATGTACTCACAATCATTATCAGATCTCAAACATTTCAATTTTAAGATTATTTATCTCAATCATGGTCTTTCAAGTCTTGAACACATTATAACATCAATTTTATGCTTCAAGAAATAAACTCATACATTTTTGTTTTGATCATCAATGAATGTGACATTGTAATGAGAGTCTCCAAGAGATGTACTGGAGAAGGTCCCCACACATCCGTGTGTACAAGATCTAGCTTTCGTGCCTTTGACGTTCTGTCACTTTTCAAGAAACTGACATTCCTCTGTATTCCCATAATGCAACTCTCACACATACTGAGATCAACTGACTTCAGTTATGATAACTTACCTCTGGACTGAAGTTCTTTCATACATCTCTAACTCATGTGACCAAGTCTGTAATGCCAAAATTCTGCTGTGCTCCCTACAACAGTAGTATCAACACAGTTAATTAAACCAGTAGTCATATATAACATACTTGTTTTCTTACATCGAGCCAGTATTGGTGCTCATTTAGTAACATTCCAGGTGTTATTTGAGAATACTACTGAATGCCCACACTCATCAAACTACCCAACAGAAATAAGATTCTTCTTCAGTTCAGGACTATGTCTGACCTTTTACAGTGTTATTTATTCTTTTTTGGAAGATCAATGTCAATATCTCTCATTCCTCCCACGTTCAGTTTCTCTCCATCTGCCAGATATACTTTCCTAAAATCACCTAACATGCAACATAATTCCGCTTCAATCCCCGATGGAAAGTTGTATGGAAAGAAGCCCCTGAATCCAGTATCAAATCATCAATAGAACGATCAACTGCCAGCATTAGTGCATTTTATGCTTCTTTAGTTATCACATTTGCACTATCATTCTCCATATTCTTGAGATTTCTGCAGTTTTTTTTATGTGGTCAGTTTTGCCACAATTCTAGCAAGTTTCTTGTTTACTAGGTCTTGACTTGCTCCAACCTCTGAGCTTTGATTTTAATCTTCCTATATTTGAGTTCTTATCATGTGATCTCTCTCTGAAATCAACATTTAATGCTGAACTCGAACTTGAGATCTCGTCAGAATCTTTCCTGCGCATCTCCCCAGCCAAAATCAAATCACAAATATCATCATATTTCAA